AGTTTCCTTGTTGATGTTGGTCAAGTAAAAGCTACCTTTTTGTCACTAATAACTATTACTTTTTAGCATTTCTCACACCCCTTTACCCTCAAGACCTTTTCCCTGCGCTCTCCCCCCTCAAGGTCTTCTGTGTACATGTCCTTCAGGCAGTTCTTCCTAGCGCAAGGAAAATACAGAGGCGAGATAGCGAGAGCCAGGCTAAGAAAATCCCCCCCCCTTCCTCCCCTTCACCTGCCTACAAATAAAAATCAATACTGTCTTTCCAGCATGGAAATTGACTTGCTATTTGGATGATGATGATGATGATGATGATACAAAAATGTTTTGGAATACCATGCTTAATGTGGTAAAAAATCAGAAATCTGCATAGTAGAGCGTTATCCCAAGGCAGCTAAAATATGTAGAGAGTCTTCTGTTTACATTTTTAACACTATATTCATTTGAATTGAGTAATAAATAAATACATTTGTAATAAATGTATTTATTACATTTTTCTACATTTTAAATAAAGATGAAAAATAATGTTCATGGAGAAAGGTAAATAGGAACATTGGGGATAATTTATTAATTAAAGGGGTTTTATGGTTTCTTGGAACTGATGCAAGGGATGTGACATTGCATGGAGGAATACAAAGTTGTACACTTGCTTTACAAAGAACTGGCATAACTAGTCCATATATCAAGGAATGTATAGTAGGAAATAATGGCGAGAAGAGGTAAGTGGAGACATGCATTAACACCCAGGTGATCAGGAAAGCTGAATAATTTGACAGCAGTTGTGGATAGATTATAATATGAAAGAAAAGGATTATAAGGGAGAAACAGGAGGCCTGTTTTTGTAATACTGAGAGAATTTAATAGCATGATCTGGCAATTGGATGTCTCCATGTGTCTCTTCTTTCAGTGAAATCTCACATCCTATACATCAATTCCAAGAAATCATAAATATACCTTTTAATTGATAAATTATCCCCACTATTCCTACTTATCTTTCTATATGGACACTATTTTCCCCTTTATTGAAAATGTAGAAGATTATCATTACAAATCATATGCAATTAGGATTGTAATAGGGTGAGATAAAGTACCTGACTGACCATCTGACTAATCAATACAAACTATGTCAAGACAAAAACATCAAAAAGAACAAATGGGAAAATATGATACAAAGAATTCGATAAATATTGGGAAAGGACTGATGTGGAATATAAATGGAATAAAGGAAGTCACACAAAGATCAATGCCACAAACTAAGCATTACAGTTACTAAACCTCTCAAGAGAATATAAAATTCCTAAAAGAGTTATATTTCAGTGTTTTTCTGAAAAGTGTCATGACTGGACAGTCTAGATGTGTCAGTCACAAAGCTATACCTTTCCACTTTCCCGATGTTCCAGTTAAAGGAAGGATAAAAATAATATATGGAGACAAGAGATCCTATCTGAGGCTGGTCCAATGTCTTGGGGCATCCCACTTCATCTCAAACCACTTTGATCTCAATCTGGATTTGTTCTGAATATTACTGAAGTTGGGATATACACCTCTGATTTCTCATCTAAGGTGTCTGAATAATTGAACAATATAGCAATGTTTGGCTTGTTACTAATAACTGCAGTCTAGAAATATCTGGTTTTTTTAAGTTGTCCGTTCAAATAATTTCCCAGTATTTTAATGTTTAGACATCTTACAGTGTACTGAAATCTGGTAACATTTACTTTTTCCCACCAGGGCTCAAAGAGAGCAAGCAGTTAAAAAAATTCAGAAGATATGGTGGATGCACATGACAAAAAGACTATTTAAACTTCTGAAACATACAGTTCGTGCAGCGGTATGGTCTTGTACACAGTGATGCCTGACTAAATGTAGCCTTATTGTTTCCATCTTAACTTCTTTTTCTTTCCACTCCCCCTGTTTTAAGGTAGATCCCCTATGTGCAGACATATTAGCTGTGTTCACCCAACATAAAGATTTCTGTTGTATAACCAGTCATAAAAGATTCTGTCTTGCTTCAGAATATCAAAGTTGTAGAAGCAGCAGAACTACCATCAGTGGCAAGCTATATCAAGAGGCTGCTGAACAACCAAACTGAAAGCCAGGTCAGACATCAGACAAAAGTTTCTAAACAATCATAAAACATCAATCAGAAACAGCATTCAAGGACAAATTCAGGGGTCAAGAGGCAGAGGTCCACACATATTGAAGGAATGAAGGACACGGCATTGTTCCAGCACTGGTGTTCAAAGCTGGTATTCTAAAAACCAGAGTTCTTGAAAACATATCCAGACTCTAGCACAATTAGCCATCAGGTCAGAAAAAAATTCATTTTGGCAAATAGTGCCTGATATCTAAATAAGCTTTTACTCAGCACTCTTATTTCTCAGTTAAATGCCATGGTTTTTTTTTTCAAAGTGGATCCTCAATTTTTTGTGCCAGCCAAGTATACTACCACTTTCCCTGGTCCTACTGAAGGATCCCAGTCACATGAAAGTCTGAATCTTCCCGTTAGGTTCCAGACTGCAGTGTTGTCTGTCTGGAAAATTAAAATTTTGAAGGTTCATTGTTTAGGGGAAGTGTGATGGAACCTAGTATTTAGTGCAATGCTATATTGAGGTAAAATTAATATCCATCTATGTTATTGTGGAAAGAAAGAAAACTTATATTTGGTTTTCTTATTGAATATTCAACTGTCATTTTGTTTTTAAAAATATTTAGCACTTTTACTGTAAAGAGATAAGAAAAAAACACAGAAACAGTTAACAGCACAATTAGTAAAAATGAAATTTGTTTTTCTTTCCCACTGTTCTGATCAGTGAGTATAAGTTTTAGAATAGATAAGAACACTTGGCAATTTATCTTTTTCAGTGGGTTACAAAACGATATGTATTTAATGAATTAAACAGTGCTGCTTTAACATAATAAAATACAGGGTTTCATTTTTTTCTGTTCTGCATTGACTGTGTCAGTTAAAATAAGGAAAAACGTTTTGTTGTAATTGCAGTTATTCATTCACAGTTACAGTCAAAGACAAATTGAAAGATTAAGATACAAATAGGAGCATGAGAAAAAAATAGCATCACATCAGGAAGAAAATTAGAAGTTATTCCCATTGGGTAATTCAAACATAATGAGAATGAAAGATAATCTTAGTAGCAAAACTCTAGTGATCCTTCTAATAATTTTATTGTCCTGATCTGAAACCCAAAAAGAGAACCTGGTGCTTTTCTACAGTCCCTGAGCCTTTGGTTTAAACTGAAGATAAATGATTTTTCCAGATTTCTCCATTTAGAAGACATGTAAGAGCACATGATCAACTCTCAATTGCTTCAGATCCATAAAGGCCATGCCATTCTGGGATGGGAATTTTTCAAAACCTCCCCTCCTAAACAGCTGATAGAAAAGAGATACTCAAGCTAAGTTAAAGGCTTCCAACAGACCTCAAAGGATTTCAAAAATGTAGAATGAAATCTACCTTGCAGAACCAGAGGCAACAAACAAAAGGATAAGTTTATTTCAGTAATTAAAGCACATCCATATCTGAGCCTTAACTGCGACCATTCAAAATGCAATAGAGTACAGTATTGCAGCTTTGCAAGATCATAAGCTCTACGGGGATATAGACTTGTGACCTGTATATGTACATATTCAGTATATTGGCTGGGTTTTTTGGCTCTGATAGTGACACCAGCTGCATTCCTCTGCATATACCACAGTTTCATCCCTCTCTACTCTCAGCAACCACTACAAATTTTGGGAGGGTTGCTGCCATTAGTAATGGGAAAATAATTATTTGTGCCCACCAGTCAGCTGTTCATTTATTGGCAGTAAGAAACCAATTATCATGTTTCCCAACATTTTCAGCAGGAAGCATTTAAATTATAGTATATATTCTAAATTAATTTTTACATAGTATAAAAAATAAAACACCCCAAAACCCAGATTTTTTTTAAAGCCTCAGTCTTTCTTATATATGTAATATATTTCTGCCTTTTTTGCATCATTATCTCACCATGACTCTTGTTCCACTGAAAACAGTGCAGCCCTGGCCTCCAAAAGTTGCCTATCTCTGCCCTACATTTGTAATAATTACAAATTATATATTGCAAAGTTTATTTTAGAGTTGAATGGCTTTATCTCATAATACTACAATTACTGTTATTTTGCCTAAAGATGGGATGATTTGGTAGTCTTAGATCTAGTGATCTAATATTTCAACTTTCTAATTAAAATTTACTGAAAAGCTGATGTTCTTTTTCTGAATGAAAAATAGGAAAACTAGGGCTGTAATATAGTAGTATGGATCATGCTATTCAGTATTTCCTCCAATTAGCAATATAACTATGCTTTCTTTCAGGGTTTTCCATACCCCTCTCTTTCCCACTTCCTCATCCCAGTGACACTCAAAATTGCATAAATACTGAGTATACTGAGTCCTCATTGGGCTATTTGTTTGTTCAAATTTTTCCCTAAAAATTGCTATTTCTTAATCTTGAGATATTTTAAACATTGGTATTTCTCTGTTTTTTCTTAGTAGTCTCAATTTGGATACACCATGATCATAACATTTCTGTTTGTTCTTTGTAAATAGAATGCTAATGATAGTTATGTTGCAAATCGATTGGGCAAATATTGTATTTCTTTCAGGAGTATTGTATCAGCTATGACATTTTAAAAAGAGTGAGTCCTTTGGAGGCTGAACTTCTTAAAGAACCTACTATTCAATATAAAGTCCGATTCAGGTAAATTAGTGCATTTATTTCCCTTGGTTCCATGTATATGATTACTTTTGGTTAATTTGACAATGTTATTGTATACACAGAATTTCCACTGGAATCACTGCACTTTAAGCACTGTTCATATTTTACAGGCAGCAGAGTCAAACATAGCATTAGGGAGACAGCCACTATGTTCTATGCTATTAAGCCAATTGTGGTTTTGTTTACCATATTGTTCAAATAGTCCATGGAACAGATTTTAGTTAAGGAGAAATGTAGAATCCAGACTAATAGCAAGATAAGAGATGTGGGGGAAAAGAGATTAATACTTTGCTCCTTAATCTGTTTTCAGAAAGTATTTATTTATGCCACAGGAGAGTATTCAAATTACAAATGGAGAGTATTCAAATTAAAAATGGAGAGTCGGAAGTGGTATAGATTCTATCCAATGATTTCTGCTGAACATGGAAATTAGATCCTATTTCCTAAAATTATACCTCTGTCTATAGCATTTAATACATTCATATAGTCCAGCCAAACAAATATTGACCTGACTAAACCGATCACTCGCTGATAGGAAAGATGAAGCAAGAAATGTTGTTCTTCTGGTTGCCTTAAATTGCAGCCACAGAAGAATGTTTAAAACAGTTGTCAATCATATCACTGGAATAAGAAATACTTAAATGAGTTATGACTTCTAAGGCAGAACATAAAAAATACATTCTCATAAAAATAGATACTCAATTTTTCTATTTTCTCCCTTCAGATTTGCTGGGTCTGATTTTCCCCCTTTTATTGTGTTTAAAATATTTTATAAATCAGGAACCAAAAGCAACCAATACATCAGTGGGAAAAGAGTAATAACATCAGCAAGTAAGGTAATCTACTGTTCATTTTGCTAATTTTCTATTTACCCAAACATTTTTTAATGTTTAATAACTGTATCATGTATTATTTCAGCTGGGGTAGACATGTAACTTGTCATAAATTGCAGATTGAAACATTATTATTTAATATTTAAATTGAATATGACTTGAGGATGTCTTTACCTTTACCTTTTAATATATCTGTTAAAACTCTTTTTAATAGGTGGTTCTTGAGTGTGGTTCTTGAGTGTGAAAAATTAGCAAGATACTTTCAGTTTTTTTTAAAGAAACAATTATTTTATGAATACAGCTGGGTCTCTGAATTCTCAGGGGTTAAACGTCAACACTGTCAACACTGTGAAATTCTGCAAAAATCTGTACTTTTGCCCAAATAGCCCCAGATGTTTTTTATGTATGCCTAAACATTTTGGATGTGGCCTGCTACCCAAAATCATGCAGCCTGGGGTCCCAGAAAGAAATATGTTCATCCAGTTTGCAAGAGAGAGGGAGAGAGCTCTCTCCACTTCCTCCAGCAGCAATTTTGGCAATGGCTTCACTAGCCACCTCAGTGCAGGCAGTTCAGCAAGTCCCCCACCTTGCACTGGCAAGAGCGAGCCATGAGGTGGAGGAGGAGGAAATGGCAGCAGGGGCATGGCCTCTGGCCCCTATGTAGAACAAGGTTAATATGATAAATTTCACAACTGCCACCACAAAAACATGTTCATGAATACAGATCCCTCAAATATGGTGGCCCGACTATAGTAGTAGTACTATTAAATATCTAAGATATTACTTAGTAAATAACTACCTCAGTAATATAAACTTTGATGATAACACAGTTAAAAATCATACATTTCTTCCCCAAACTATATATTTATTTGATTTATATCCTGCTTTTCTACTCAGTAGTTCAGTAAAATATTGTTTAGTCATCAATAATAGTAATTAAAATATGGAACACAAAATTTTAAAAATGTAAACCTGACTGTAAAATTAATTAATAATTAAAATGTGGTGAAAGAGACACGTCTTGGTTGCTATTCTAAAGGCAGAGAAGTACAAGTTGAATATAACTTCCAAGGGATTTCATTCCATAGCATGAAAACAACACAAAGAAAGGTTTCTACAAGCAGATAAATGGGCATATAAGGGCTGGATCACAATACTTCACCCAGTGCTCTCCTTCAAAATGGTATGGGAGAGAATATTGGGTTATCAAGCTTTCAACATATTGGCCTCCCCATGATGTGCTGAATAAGATGTTGGAATAGATTTGTGAGGGAAGAAGAGATGCACTTTTATTTTAGGAATAAGGAAATTTCCCATTAACCATCTGACCTCATCCTTAGAGAATATATTATCACTTATTTATATTTTATAATATTTGCTAGGCAGCTGTTGATGCTTGCAAATTAATGGGATATCGGACGTATTATAATCAGATTCTTCAAGATGAACTTCAGTATAAAAGGCACGGAATAACAGATGAAATGGATATTGCTACAATAAGAGATTACATACAAGTAAGCAGTGCTTAGATTTATCTATCTCATGGGATTATATATTTGAAAAAAAAATCATAGAGTAGTAAAGGTCCATTCAGGCAACCAAGTCCAATCCAACTCTCAGTTCAGAATCCAAATTAAAGCATCTCCAATACATGGTTGACCAGTTCTGCTTGAATGCTTCTGTTGAAGGGACCCCCTACCATTTGGGATAAATGGTTCCACTGTTAAACTGCTTTTATTGTTAAAAAGCTTTTTCCTAATATTAAATCAAAGTCTACTTTTCTGTGACTTACAATCATCATTTCATATCTTACATTCTAGGACAATACCATAGAAAACAGGTGCTGATATTCTGTTTGACAACTTCAGAGATTTGAAAATGGCTGACATATTCCCCACCCATCTCATTATATGTAGTCCTCGATTTGCGACCAGTCAGCGACCATTCCAATGGTGGTTACGACTGGTCCTTGGAGTTCCGGCTGTCCCAGCATCCCTGCAATCACGTGATCACAACCTCAGTGCTGGGCAACCTGTTCACACTTACAACTGGTTGCCAAGTGCCCTGTGATCACATGATTACCATTTGTAACCTTCCCTGCTAGCTTCTCCAGAAAGTCAATGGGGAAGCTGGCAGGGAAGGTCACAAGTAAGCACCTGTGCACCCTCCTCCAGTCCCTCTGAGCTCTTGCTGTGCTAGCCACTCATGTACTCCTGTGCACCATCCCTGACGCTCACAGCACCTCTCATGCACCCCCTTGCACCCTCCTCAACCTGCATGCCACCTCTCGCCCCCCCCACACACCCTCCCTTACCATCTACGACCTGCGCAGTGCTTTGCAACCCCCTCACATCCTTGCGCATCCTCCCTGACTCTCCCTGACCCTCGGCGCCTCTCACACACACACCCTTGGACCCTTGTGCCCCCTCCCTGGCCCATTCCATGCCTCTCATGTACCTGCCCTGCCCCTGCACCCTCCTTCACTTCCTCCCCCACTTACCTGCCTGCAGGCCTGGAACTTACAACTGAACTTCTGATGAGCATTCTTTTAATATGGTTGTTAAGCCAGGTATGAATTTAAACAGCATATCTGCAGTGTAATCCGTAATTGACTATCTTGCTAGTTAGAAAGGGAGCCAAAAATGACCAGTTTTGTCTCTACCATTAGCAGAAAATCTTGCATGCAGCTTGGGTAACAGCCTACTCTTTCTTTATTTTAATAGAAAGCATTATGTGAAATACTCAGCTGACTAAAACCATGATGAAAGCAATGAAGGTCAATATTTATGGACTTATCTCTTGACAATGAATGTTTTTATTGTACATTCATTAATTTAGAGAAAGTGTATCATAAAATGACTAGGCTAGAATTGTGGAACATTTTACATAGTGGGATAGAAACTTGTTTGCTGGATGTATTATAAGCAATGTATGATAAAAGTTAAGCCTATATGTGAATAAAGGGAATGTTTAGCACCTGTTCAGCATGGATTAGAGAAAATGAGGATGTATAGTGATCCCTTTGTTGCTTAATGTATTCATAGATTAATATATAAAGAATACCTCTGGTGAGATTAGAGGTGTGATGGTTGGTGATATAAATGTGTATGTACTTCTGTATATAAAAGACATCTTGTTGCTGGCTGAGAACCAGGAGAAATTCTCCTTCCTTGAGCCGATGACCTGCTGAAGCTGTGCAATGTTTTCATGAACCATTGAAGCCGTGCATTTTTAATATACAGACTGTTTTCAGCGGTTTTCAGCAGTTCATGAAAACATTGCATGGCTTTAGCGGTTCGTTTCCTTAAGGAAGGAGAACACTGTCCACCATTTTTAGTAATAGGCAGCCCGTTCATAAGTACGAGTTCCAATTTATATACAAATTCAGGTTATTAGATCAGTCTACCTCCAGTGATTAATGGACCCAGAAGGGTTCCAGAGGGAGTTAGGGGCTGAGCCTGATGGTCTGCTGCGCAGTCCAACTGAGGCCTTAGTCACCACTTGGAATGAGAGGGCAGCTATGGCCTTGGATTGGATCATGCTTCCTTTCTCAGGGAAGGTTGTAGAGAAGGTGGTTGCAAAATAGCTTCAGAGGATCCTGGATGAAATGGATTATCTGGATCCCTTCCAATCAGGATTCAGGCCAGGATATGGGACAGAAATGGCATTGGCATTTGGATGACCTCTGGCAGGAGTGGGATGTGAGTGGTGCATTCATCCTTGTGCTATTTGATCTCTCAGTGGCTTTCATCCTTGTTCTATTTGACCTCTCAGTGGCTTTCAATACCATCAAGCATGGTATATTTCTAGGCTGGCTTCAGGGGCTGGGAGTGGGCGGCACAGTATTGCACTGGTTCACTTTCTTCCTCTGAGGCTCGTTCTAGTCGGTGTTGATCGGGAGCAAGAGGTCCAGCCCGTGGCCTCTACTATGTGGGGTGCTGCAGGGCTCGGTACTTTTAACATCTACATGAAGCCACTGGATGAGATCCTCCGTCACCATGGGGCAAGGTACCATCAATATGCTGATGATACCCAATTATACATCTCCACTAAATGAGCTAAGTGATGCTGTTGATGTCCTCTCTCGGTGCCTGGAGGCTGGGGGGAACTGGATGGGGAACAACAGGCTTCAACTGAACCTTGACAAGACTGAGTGGCTTTGGGTTTTGGGAATTTCTTTATCCAGGGATTTACCATCTTTGGTGCTGGATGGGGTTGCACTATCCCAAACAGACCCAGTGCACATCTGAGGGTCCTTCTGGACTCATGACTCCTGCTCAAAGAGCAGGTGGCAGTCGTAGCCAGGAGGTCCTTTGCACAGCTTCATGTTGTGCCCCAGTTGTACCCATTCCTGGATTGGAAGTTCCTACTCTCAGTCACTCATGCCCTAGTCACCTCCCAAATGGATTACTGTAATGTACTCTCTACATGGGACTGCCCTTGAAGAGTATCTGGTTGAAGCAGCATGGGCAGTTATGTGTGCTCCAAGAACTGCATATGTCACACCTTTGTTCTGCAAGCTGCATTGGCTGCCAGTTTGCTTCCAGGTCCAGTTCAAGGTGCATGGGGCCAGGTTATTTGAGAGACCACCTCTCCCCCCAGTTACATCTATTCATCCCATCAGGTCCAGCAGAAGGGGCATGTTATTGGTCCCATCAGCTAAGGAGCTTCATTTAGCAGGATTCAGAAAGAGCCTTTTCTGCTGTTGTACCCACCCTCTGGAATATCATCCCCCCAAAGTGAGATTGGCCCCAACCCTTCTGGCCTCCTGGAAGGCCCTTAAAACTTAAATGTGCCATAAGGCTTGGGGATTCCAAGGAAGTATGGAGCCCATTAAATGGTTATATTTTTAGAGTCCACTTTCCTCTGCCTTTTTATTACTGTATTTAAATGTAGTTTTTAATTTTTAATTGTTTTTAATGGAGAGTCACATGCAAATAACTCAGAGTCACATGCAAATAAGATGGGCGGCCATATAAATTTAATAAATAAATAAATATAATTAAGCTACCCAAGTTTAATTGTATTATAATTAACATCTAATAAATGTTGTTTCTTTATGACTTTCTAGTATGCCAGTCATATGGATGAAACTCCAGCATATTATGGTGGCAGACATAATTGTTGGAGAAGGCTGACTTTGGAAAATCTTCCTAGAGCAATGATATTGTATGACATCATGGATTATGCAGAGTCTGGGAAGCTGTCTGCTAGACTTAGAGCGGAACTTCCATTTCTGTTGCTGAAACCACAGAATGAAGAAACATGTCGTGCTCAAATCTTTGCTGTTTGTCAAATTAGGTAAATGCTAATTGTTGCCATATTTGATTGTTAACATTCTTTGGAATGTCTTTCTTCCCTTTTATTTTTATTTGTTTAAAGACAGATAAGAATTAATGCCAAGAGAAGAAGAGTTCTTATTTGTAACTATAATCCCAAACACTGTAATTTCTTAAACCTAAACCCACTAAAATGTGCAAGGGTATGTGTGTATGTATGTATGTATATATGTATGTATGTATTTATTAAGTTCTTATTTGTAACTATAATCCCAAACACTGTAATTTCTTAAACCTAAACCCACTAAAATGTGCAAGGGTATGTGTGTATGTATGTATGTATATATGTATGTATGTATTTATTTATTAAATTTATATGACTGTCCATCTCAAATACATTACTTGGGTGGCTAATAATACTTAAAAACAGGATAAAAACAATATAATGAAATTGTAAATAACAGAATTATAAATAACAAAAATAGCAACTGAGAAAAAACAACAACCAGCAGCAACAATTAATATAACCATACAGCAGGCTTCCTCACCTCCAGGGCTTCAGGCTTGACAACAAAACTAGGTTTTCAAGGCCTTACAAAAGGCCAGCAGGATAAGTCTCCAGAGGGGTAATGTTCCAGAAGGCAAGGGCCACAACAGAAAAGACTCTCTTCCTGGGTCCCACCCATTGATACTCCCTGATGGACAGGACCTGGAGCATGCCTCTTTTGCCAGATTTAACAGGATGGGTAGATGTAACCAGGGAGAGACAGTCTTATAAGTATCCCAGCCCTAAGCCTTAAAGGTAACTACCAGCACCTTGAATTGAACCTGGAAGTCTTGGTACAGAATGTCATTACACTTAAAATACTGGGAAAGGTTTACTAATAAATAATCATATATAATTCCAAGGTTGCAGCATTGTCTTTCATACGGAAATGGACAATATGCAGGTGGTAGTAATGAGGCTTCTTGGTGTTTACAAATACTCAATGCAATAAGCCCTAAACGTGGCCCTGTTACTTTATTGGTGAATATTGATGCAATGCCTAACAAGTGTTAAAGATCATTCATGTTTCCAATTGCATTGTTCTTTCTATATGAGCTGCCAGTCATCTCATCCCATTATATTTTGAATATGTTGTCCATTTTGCCTTATCCAAGTGACTTCCTCGTCTCAGTTTTGTAAAATGTTAATTGTTATTGAGTGCAGTTATACAAATGTTCTCATCTAAAATAATTAACGCACTTCCTCATAGGACTTGAATCTTTTTCCAGAGAAGCTTGTGGTTTATGAGTTTTATATGCAAGCTTTCTATATGCTATTTGAGATTCTGAGATGGAATTTGGTGTTGGTTCAGCTAGGGGTCATGGTTGTTTATGACAGGTGAGAAGAGGTAAAGGCTGGTTTAGTAGCACAATCTTAATGCCATCTTGATGTCTTCTTAGTACTACAAAGGGAAGGCAATACAATTTTAAAGGTTGCTGTAGGAATGGTCAGTGTCCTACATTTGCCCATTATTTTAATTACAATATTATACTATAAATATTAAGGTGGACTGGTTGATTTCAAGCTAAAGAGACTCAGGCTTGGTTAGTATTTGAATGGAAGATCACCAGGAAATACCAGGTCTGGGGACTAGACTTTTTCTAGAATGTTTTTCCAGAAACCTTCCAGATTTCAACCATAGCTCATGCACAGACATAAAGTTAAAGCAGAAAATTGTTTTAATCATAGTATTGTATTTATCCAAAAGGAAGATGATCCTAAATTTAAGATACTCCCCTTTATCAAATGAAAAGTAGTTAGGAAAAAATGTAAATACAGAAATTTTGTATAATATGCAGGTTACCCACTTTTTCAAGTGAGAGTTGCCAACTACAGCTGAAACCAATCCTAGACAGGGAAGAAAAAAGAGAGAAACTGTTTATTATGAAAAAAGATATGCATTCAGCAGGCAAAGAACCCCCCTTTCAGTCTCGATTCAGACAAGGACATAGCATGAAACAGCATTGGTCACACTTGTTGATTGCCTATGGAAAGCAGAGGATGGAGTAATGCATCCATCCTGGCCCTCCTTGACCTCTCAGCAGTTTTCAATACCATCAACCATAGTATTGGGGGTTCTCTTGGGCTCATAGCTTACATTCAATGAGTAGGTGGAAGCTGTGGCCAGGAAATCCTTTGCACAACTGCATCTAGTGCAACCATTCCTGGACTGGGATACCCTGCTCAATGTCACTAATGCTGTAGTTACTTCTCAATTGGATTATTGCATGGGGCTACCCTTGAAGACAATCTGGAAGCTCCAACTGGTCCAGAAACTAACAGTGCAGGGGGTTATGGATACACCTTACTACACCCATGTAACACCTTTGCTTTGCAAGCTGTCTTGGCTCCCAGTAGGCTTCTAAGTGCAATTCAAGGTACCGGTCATCACCTATAAAGCTCTTAATGGCATGCATCCCAAGCACTCCAACAGAGTGGGTGGGCTACAGCTCCCTAACCCTAAAGCAATGCATTCTGACAGGACCTAGGATACATTCCTTTTCATTTGTGGCACCTGCCCTATGGAATGATCTCCCCTTTAAGATTCAAACTGGCCCCAATCCTGTTAGCCTTTAAGAAGGCTTTGAAGACCTAGATGTTCTTTCAGGCTTTGGGACCAGGATGTTAGATGGCTTCATCCGGGGAGGTTGAATATACTGTATGTTCCAATTGTGTTACTTGTTTTCATTATTGGATTCGTGGGTTTTTTTTTTGACATTGTGATGTTTTATGGTTGTACACTGCCCAAAGTTGCATATTTGCAAATTGAATGTCTGTATAATCTTAAATAAATAAATAACCAAGGCCTCCTAAACAGTAACTTATCTTCAGAACTTATTTATTTTTAAAGACATCCACAGTTTTCAAGTATCCAGAAATATTTGCACTTCTTGCCCATTTCTTTATTTTCATCAAATGTATGATTCTCCAATTCATGGGTAATCATTTGGGAAAAAATAGTGTCTTTGATATTATTAGTAAGTTGTAACATGTCTACTTCTGAGAAGATGTATAGAATTCACTTAGTGACTGCTTACCAAAGTGAGAGAGGAGACAGCAATAGCAATATACATTTGCACTCAAGTTCCTCACTAGGGAGAAAAAATTAGGTCAGCAACATGACCTTCCAGGAGTGTCTGCAGTGACATTGCTTCAAAATGGTTGGTGCAACTTTGTGATCGAGGCCACACCCTTTTTATGTGCACTGCATGTACATAAAAAGGGGTGGGGTTTCAGTCACCTGGCCATGCCCACCATTTTGAAGCCAATGACTGTTGCTACATACACTCAAGCTTCAGAGCACAAAAATAATCGTTTTCACAGCATTTACTTTCATATTTCTATAATGACATTTCACATCCACTGTGCCATTGGCACTGTAGGATCTGTGAAAATAGTGTTCAAAACATAGGTTTTTTTCTAGGTCTCTGTCACCTGGTCTCATAACTACCTCCCTATCAAGACGAGAACAAAAGGTAGCCCAGAGAACATCAAAACGCCGCTCTTATCAAGCTAGGCAGAAGATTGCAAAAATGAAGGAAGTTTACAGAGCTGTGAAAGAAGAAGAGGTGAGCAAGGATAAGGAACACTCAATATTTGGTATTCAAAGAAGCACTGCTAGATCTTATTGCTTTAAGTCTACCAATATGTTTTAAAGGGGCTTAGTCAAGTACTGGGTTTTCGAAAACTGTATTTTTTAAGTAGAGCTTTCAAACAGTAGGATATAGCTTACTTGTATATGTATATACAAGTATGCTATCCACATCAAAATAAAAAAAAAGAACAGAACAGCTACTATGTCTAATTTTTTTCCTGTAATTATCCAACCTGATAAAAATTATTTTTAAAAGTGGTACTTTGTTGATCAATGAATTTTGTGATAACATGGTTGGGAGCATATTATGGATCTAGTTATAGGTAGTCCTCGACTTATGACCATTCATTTAATGACCATTTGAAGTTACACCGGAGCTGGAAAAAGTGACTTACAACTGGTCCTTGCACTTACAACTGTTGCAGCGTCCCCACAGTCATGTGATCAAGATTCAGGCATTTGGCAACCAGCGTGTATTTATGACGATTGCAGCGTCCTGGGGTCACACAATCGCCATTTGCAACCTTCCCAGGCAGCTTCTGACAAGCAAAGTCAATGGGGGAAGCTGGATTTGCTTAACAATCATGATGATTCAATTAACAATTGCAGCAAAAAAGGTTGTAAAATTGTGTGCGACTCGCTTAACAACCACATTGCCTAGCAATGGAAGTTTTGGTCCCAATTGTGGTCATAAGTTGAAGACTACCTGTATTAGAAAATAGTTCCCACCTTCCAGAATCAGTCCAGTGAAGTATGTAACTTGTCCAAAGATTTCTTATAGCTCATCTTGTCTCAGAGGTTTAAAAACTAACCTTTCAGTCTATAATCATGGTCTTTACTTGAAAGGAAATCACTCTGACTTCAGTGGGATTGATTACTTGATAATTAGACTGTTTTATATAGGCCTGGTTCAGATAAAATGTTAAGTTGATAGACCATGTTTTATTGTTTCAGTAACATCAACATGTCCACACATTCTCTTCTCCTTTCTTGGCAAACACAGCTTCATTTATTATAACTTTGAAATATGCAGTTTTCCTAAGTTCAATAGTTTCTTTTGTCCTGTCATGCAGGATATAAATGAAAGAGATATACAAGATTGTGAGACTGGGATATAAAATAAATGAATTGATATACTGAAAAGCATTCAGGATCCAGTCTCCCGGAACCTGACTTGCTGTGATGGACTGGAATGGAGGAAGGGGGGTGAAAACGGTGCTCTCGTCTCCAGAG